GTCTGTAACTTTCATTTCCTTTATTTTAGTCACTATTAGTCTTTGATTTAACCCCGATTATTTTAATTTTGAATTTAGATCCTTGTTTATTTTTTATTTAGCTATTATTTTATATTTTCTTGCATTTTAGTCAACATAATTAGATTTAATTACAAATTTGGGCAACTGTATTTATTTTAAATTGTTTGTTGAGGCTCTGATTTCTTCATATTTATTTATTATGTATGTCTAGTTTCTGTTAATAATATTTTATTTCTTTAAATTTCTGTTTGTGCTATTTTAGTACTTTAAATTTATGTTTTTTTCTATTTAATCCCTTAAGTTTATATTTTTCTCTTGCAGCTCATTCCTAGGATTAATTTGATCCATGAATTTTAAATCTTTCCAATTTAATCTTTTTTAATTTTCTTTCATTCCTTTTATTTTTATTTTTTTAATACTAGCTCTTTGTCTTTGTTTGTTTTATTTTTTAACTTTATATATGATTTTTTAGGATAATTTTAATTGATCGAAAGGTAAACAATTATGATTGAATTTTTCAATTTTAATTTAAATTTTAATTTTCGCAATTAAGACAACCGATAAATTAAATGGTACCGAAAGGGCAGTTCAAGGGTGCTAATCCTTCCTTGACTGTAACGACTCTCGAGCCCGACATATCTCTGGTAAAACAGATTAGGTAAGATGGTATCTGATCAGCCAAATTTTTTACGAAAAATAAATGATCGGTGACAACTCCAATTCGTTTAATCCAAGTCGAAGCCCAATTCCGGGCCCAACGAAAGACAGTTCCGACAGGAACATAGTTAGCTGATGCATATTCTTCCATGCAATCCATTTGTCTTTGTCTAGTCTTTACTTGTATGTATGATCATGCCATTCTCAATCAATATCCCTAACAAATGATGTGAAGTGCTGATTCCATTATTCCGATTCTTTATTTTTCTTGAACAAATGCAAGGCATTTTTTGATATGGGTACGGGATATGATCCTCTAAATATATTGAGAAGCTTGAAAATATTCATATTTGACACTCACGTTCAAGTCCAAATAACACGGTGAACTTTGAAAGTCACAGATTACCATTTGATTGATCAATGTTCTTCTTTTCCCCTCCATTTAGCTGGCCTTTTTACCTTTTCTTCCTTCTCTCCCCACAGGTAAAATCAAATGTCAAGGTTCTCACAACCAAGTAAAGTGATGCTTTTCAAGGTATTTATCAACAATTGAGGTGTTACACCGTCTCTTACTCATATTGGCTTTGCCTAAAGTTTCCACTTTTTCTCTTTCATGTCTATCTGCAAGCTGGGATAATGGCAACTTTAGAATACCATTACTTCAAATTTGGGAATGACTATCCTATACGGGTATGTATCAGATACGAATGCATGTATTTGGAAAATCATATCTCATATTCTTATATGGGTATGAATTGAATACAAATACCAAACATGAGTGGTTTAGAAAAAGAGGAACTTAGACAACATAGTCATTGGCCTACTTGATGAAGGAATGATGAATGATTACATTAATTGTGATTTTGACACGTGGGTATTAGAATTTCAGGTGAACAAGTTACCTAGTTCATGGAAAGTAATGGAGATTGAGGGGCAAGCAAGCTTGAATTCCCAGGTACTTTTGTATTTTTATTCGTCATAGATGACAGATTCAAAGCATGGAACCCCTATTCTTTGCATTAATAGCATCCTGGATTTAAAAAACTCGTTTTCAGCCAAACAAAGGCATCTTTGAAGGATAAACATCAGAATCTCAAATAATAATATTGTGGATAATCATAAAACAACTCTCTCTCATTCTTACTCTTTCTTTAACATGTGCTCCAAAACCCCATCATTTCTTTACAGCTATTTTGTCTAATATACTGCCATCTAACATTATTTATGAAAATATACCATCCCAATATTATTTATTAAAATAGCATTTATTTGAAAAAAAAAGAATTAAAAATAAAAATCATATATATGTGCATACTGTTTTTGAAGCAAACATAAAAAGAATTGAAAGACATTAATAAATAAATTTTGCAGTATATTCTCAATGCATACACCAGTTTAGTTTTCATCAATCTCATAAATTTTTCAATGTATGTATTAGTTCTCTTGAATTCCGAAAATTATACCATGTATTTCCAATGATATATAAATTTTCATCTATCCAGTAATTTTTTTTACCATAGGTGATTTATTTCAAAAACTGAATCCATCTTAGTTATTTCGTTCAATGCATTCAACTAACAGATACAATAAATATTAGAGAAAATTTATTAATTAAGCAAGCATTTAAAACAAACAGTCTGCAAGAGAGGTATTGCTACATTTAGTCTGGAATTGATATGTGCATTGAGGATATATTATAAAATTTATGAGATTGATTCGAATTAATATATGCAAACACACTTTAAAATCAATGGGATTGGTTGGAATTAATATTTGCACTGGGAATACACTGTAAAATTTATGTGATTAACAGGAACTGATATATGTATTAAAAATTTACTGCAAAGTATATTTATTGATGTAGACTATTTAGTTTCTTTTAAAATCAATGGGATGGGTTGATTAGTATAATTTAATCAAGTAATGCTGGCTATTTCCTAGTCCATACAGTACGCTATCGATTCCTCCTCCTGACATTACATCTTAACGAACGAAGCCAACTAAGACTATTCGAGCACGTGATTAAATGAAAATTATACCGTATATTTGTCGTGTTTTTCACGTAAAACTTGCTTTATAGGATGTTTACGATGAGTTTCGGTTTAAATCGAACATATGGAATCGATCATTCAAAGCTTTCTCAAATATTTCGATACAATTTTTGTATTGTAAAAAATATTATTCCATCGGCTTCGAGTTGAAATGTGATTAAATTATGAATTTCAAATTGGATTTTTAAGAAATAATATAAATGAGAATTAGGGTCATCTGGAAATTTCCGAGTCAGGCAATGTGTATTTAATTAAGCGTCGGATCATCTGGAAAAAGATGAGTTTGAAACATAATGAATAGTCGAGTGATCATTTTGTAACTTTTAATAGTTGAGGGACTCAACGAAGCAATATCTTATAGTCGGTGATCATTTTATAACTTTTAATAGTCTAGAGATTCAACAAAGTAACACCATATAGTCGGAGACTATTTGTGTACTTTACCTAAGCTTGATAAGGATCATACTGACGTGTCATGGAAAAAAGTAATTTTTTTCGAATGAAAAGAGGCAAAGCCTAATTAAGGGTCTGATTGTTTCCCTGTAATTGGTTTACTGAAAAATATTTTCCTCATTTTTTAGTGTTTGGTTGGTGGAAAACATATAATCAATGTAATTCATTTTCCATGTCAACTGAATTTCTTTTGCATCTTTTTGAAAATGACTTACCATCTGATTTTCCGTAAGTCAATTTACGAACTTTTCACTTCAAAACATAAACACTCAAAACGTTATTATTTTATATGTTTAATATTAATATATTATTTTAGTATAATTTTAATAAAAATATTAATTATTAAATTATATAATTTCATAAAAATAATTTTAATAGTATAATTTTATATGTTTAGTATTAATATATTATTTTAGTATAATTTTAATAAAAATATTAAATATTAAATTATTTTAATAATATATAATAAATTATTAATAAAATCAATACTATTTATTAATTTCATAAAAATAATATTATTTAATTGCTGAATATTTAATATATACTCCTTAAATCATAATATAACATTCTTTTTAATATTATAATTTTCAATATTTAAATAGTATTATTATTTTAATAAATAATTAATATAATTAATAATATATTATTCTTATTTCAATAAATAATTACTATAATTTATAATAATTTTATTTAAATAAAATATAGTAATCATAATATTTTTATTTATAAAATTATAGATATAATATTTTAATAATAGTATTATCATAAATAATATTAAATAAATTATTTTAAATTTTAAAAATAATAATAATATTTTGTTAATAAATAATATTATTTATTGTATTTAATGTTTATAATAATTTTTTTTTAAATTATCAACTAGAGAAAAATGAATTACACGATATTATTCAAACACCATAAAATACTTTTCAAAAAATATAATCAATTTTATCGAATTCATTTTTCAAAATATATTTTCCATAAAACAAACGGACTCTAAATAGCAACACGACGCCGGTGGAGCAGATGAGAAAGGGCGGTAGAGCCAGTGTCGAAAAATAAATTAACTTTTCGGTTTGGTATAAGATTATTGGATATTTTAAATTGGATAATAAAGTATTATTATTATGGGTATTCTAACAAAACGTTAAATAAGAAAACAGATCTTGAAATTTAGACATTTAAACTCTCAGATTCATATTAAAATCAAAACAATTTAATCAGATACGTGTTTTATTTCGTTAAATACTTATTTGATATTATAGTATTCATTTCATAATTAAATTGTTTTTAACAAAATTAAACCAAAAACCAAATCTTTGGTCTGATTGTTAAAAACTACTTTTAGAGAGAGAGAAAATTATTAACAATGACGGCCAAAACGGAATCCAATTCTTCAATAAAGAATCTGGGGTAGGAGCATGGAATTTCATTCTCTGAGTTTTAGTGCAGACCAGTCTGTCCAGAAGTGTATATTAAATTAAATTAAAATCCAGATCCATTCATCATTATATGTGATTTTACTATAAAAAAAGTTAATTATATTAAAATTAATTATAAATATAAATAATAAAATAAACATAAAAATGTAACAAAAATAACAATGGATATTTAAAATTCTATGTATCAGGATAAATTAGATAATGATACATCTTTAATAATAAGCTTTACTTGAAATCTTATAGTAGATTAGTAATCTATCACCATTGCATTCATTAACATATTATATCTATACATACATTAAATATTAATTAAAAAATTAATAATATATTAACACGTTATCCAAAATCTAATGCGAAGGAGATACTTCAACTTAAATAGTTGGGGGGAATTTAAGCATGAAGCACCAGCATTCAAGTTTGCCTCCGGAGTTTAGGTTCCACCCTACGGATGAAGAACTCGTCCTTCATTACCTAATGAAGAAACTCAGTTCCTCACCTTTCCCTGTTTCGATCGTCACCGACGTCGACATCTACAAATTCGATCCCTGGGACTTACCAGGTGAGCCTTCCTTTAACAACCCTTCTAATGTTATCATTTCTGAACTTGTTTTAACGTGCTAATAATGTTGTCTTTGTTTTCCATCAGACAAGGCTTTTTTGGTGAAAAAGAATGGTATTTTTTTCAGCCCTAGGGACCGAAAGTACCCTAATGGTGTAAGGCCGAACAGGGCAGCTGGATCTGGGTATTGGAAAGCAACTGGGACAGATAAGATTATAGTTACATCTTCAATGGTAGCTGGAAGGGGTGAAGTGCATTCGAACATCGGTGTAAAGAAAGCTTTGGTGTTCTACAAAGGAAGGCCTCCCAAAGGGACGAAAACAAATTGGATCATGCATGAGTATCGACTTTCACAGAGCCCTAACAACAACAGTAGACCATTCAGGCCTAAAGATTGCTCCATGAGGGTAAGAGCCTCTTCTTAAAAACTGCAAATCATTGCATTTTACACATTGATTTGACACTTTTTAACGTGGATTTTAGTTTGATGATTGGGTTCTTTGCCGCATCTACAAGAAATCCCATGCTTTGTCTTCGACAACATCAACAGCAACGGAAGAAAATGATGGAGTTCAAGAGGAAGGTGAAGCAGAACAGTTCATTCAAGATGCCCATTTACCAGCCTTGGAAAGCCCTTCAACCGACAATAATAATACTATTAGCCTTCGTCCCCAGAAATCATGTTCTTTCTCCGATGCCGTCAACACACTTTTTCGTCCTACTAGGATTCAAACTCTTAAAAATATGATAGAATTTTGCTATGATTCAAACTCCTAAAAATATGATAGAGTTCTACTATTATTTAAACTCCTAAAGATATGATCCACAAGCATTATAAATAATCATTGTAACTCACTATTATAACAGATTTGGAGGAGGATATACGAAATACCAAGAAAAAAATACAAGCAACTCATAGCCATTTTTCGAAGCATTTATATTTTGAAAGGTAAAGTTCATACCTTCGCATGTTATTTTTCTTTATCCTTGCTGTGTTTTGATTTCGAAAGAAAACTGAGAGAAGTGTTTTTGGTCGATGAACGGGGGCGTTTTCAAGATCTATTTTTGTAGATCTAGTCTCCGAGGCTTGTGTTTTTGAAAAACTATTCGGATTTTTATAAACGGGTCGTGTGGATCCGCGTGTTTTGTCGTTTTTTTCTTCGATTGGCTTTTAATTTGATCCCTATTTCATTTTTTATTTTAATTTAACCCTTATTATCTATAGTATATATGTATATATTAATTATATTTATTATTTATTTATTATAATTTCTTTTCATTTTTCTTTGCATTATATTGTATTATTTTCCTATTATATATATATATATTATTATTTTTATCTATGTTCACTTATTTACTATGTTTTTTTATATTTTCCTAACGTATATATATATTCTTACTTTATTTTATTTTATATTTCTATGATTACTTTTTTTAGTTAATATTATATGTATATTTTTTTTCATTTATTTATTATTATATTACTATTTAGTATTTTATTATATTATACATACATTTTTATATTTATATATATATATATATATATATTATTTTATTATTTATTTTCATTATATTTTAGTTTCTTTCCTCTTATTATTATTTTTATTTTTTAAAAAACACTTTACCTTTTTTATTCTTTTTGTATATATTTTATCTTCATTTATTTTATTTATTCAATTTCATCTTTTTTTTCATCCAGTTATTTTATGTTTATTATTATTGGTTTCATTTATTTCCTTGGTTTACTCTTTAGTTTTGTTACTTTCTTTATTATTATTATTTTCTTTTAAAATCTTATTTTTTAAGGATATTTCCGTAAACTCATTAAGGGTAAGTAATTCAGATCAAATTTTACCTTTTAATTTAACTTGAAATTTTCTTAATCAAAGACAACTGGAAATTACGTAGTACCGAAAGGACGGTTCAAGGGTGCTAATCCTTCCTTGACCGTAACCGACTCCCGAACCCGACACATCTTTGAAAGACGCAGATCAGGTAAGAAATAGGGTATCCGATCAACCCATTTGTTTTAAATAAATGATCGGTGGCGACTCCAATTCACATTTTTCAAGTCGAAGCCCAATTCCGGGGCCCAACCGAAGACGGTTGCGACAGCTTGGCGACTCCGCTGGGGAGACAGGTAAGTGAGTCAGGCTAAGGTAATTTCCAGTTGTCTTTTTAATGAAAAGGGTAAGTTTAAATTTTAAGGTAACATTTCGATCCTTATTAATTACTTTTGATTATATTTTCGAGTAAATAGTTGTACTGACCGTTTTTTAATGATTCAGCCCTTAAATTTTTCATCTAAGGCTCTAAACCCGAGCTCCAAACCCTGCTTTAAGTGGGGGTGAAAGTGACGCCTTCGTGTGAATTTATTCACCGTGCAGGCCTAGCAAGTAGCCTTCGGGATTCATATACCTTATGTCTTCGTGTGAATTTATTCACCGTGTGGGCATAAGGGAATGTGTCCCCTCGAGTTTAACTTAGTCCACAAGCCTATGATGGGTTTAGGACTAAGGGTCTGGCAAGCCCAAGGGGGCACCGGCAAGAGAACTCGGGTACCGTTTTTAGAACCTAAACTGGGAGACCATGGAGAATTAGAGCCTACCCGAAATCACATTTCCAAAACCTAGGATATTTTACCTTAACCATATCTTTTTTTTTCCTTTCGTCATTTATTTATTATTTATTTTACTAACATTTCGCCTTTCTGTTGTTTTTTTTAGCATTTGCATCATAACAAGAGGTTATTGATCCTTAAAAAGCTTTTGTTACACACAAAATAATCTGAATTAATGGACAAAGGTGTTGTAATATAAGAGGTTAAGAATGCCGAGGCACGACTATGGTCCGAGATGACTCAGAAAGAGAAGGGAGACAGTCTTCAGGGGAACTACGTGTCAGAGCTGGTTAGCTATGCCTCTGTCAGCCTGAAACAGAATGATGTCCAAGAGTTGCGAAACATTTGGGACAGTTGGAAGAATGACAGAAAGCAGAAGTTCAGCCAACGATATGGTAATATTACCCTCTTACTTCATGTCAAGATTGATGAGCCCCTGCTCCGAGCACTGATTCAATTCTGGAATCCAGGATATAGTTGCTTCACCTTTAACCGGGAGGACATGGTGCCCACTATCGAAGAGTATACCACACTACTACACTACGAAAGCATCAGACTAGAGAAGGCATATATCAAACATATCAAGGGTCAGCCTTTTAAGAACGGACTGGCCAAGATTGCAGGGGTTGATGAAAAGTGGGTGACTGATCGACTCCGACACAAAGGTAGCGGGGAAGGAATCGAGTGGATCCATATAAAGCAACTAATGAAGAACCACCCTGATGAATGGAAGACTATAGATCTTTTTGCACTAGGTATGTACGGTTTGATTATCTTTCCGAAGACCTTGGGGTGCATCTACGCAGCCGTAGTATAACTATTTGAACAACTTCCAAGGCGAGTCAACCCAACGCCGACCATCTTAGCCGAGACCTTTCGGTCTCTTAATCATTACAGAAGAACTGGTGGAGGAAGGTTCATTGGATGTGTTCAGCTCGTTCAAGTCTGGATTCACAGCCACTTCTGGAAGACTAACAGGGTTGCCTACCACCGATTCAGCACTACCTATTCACCATTGGGAGAGTTCATCACTATGAAATAGCATGAAGGCGCTTCGAAGGAAGAATGGATAAAGGTCTTCACTCATCTTCAGGATCGGGATATTACTTGGAGAGCCCCCTGGTTGTTTCTTAGTGACGCTCTTTTCTGATTTGGGGATTCTGACACTATGACCTTACTTGGACTTTAGGGTACAGTTGGGTATGCTCCGTTGTTGGCACTTAGAAAGTATGGGGCACGTCAGTTTATCCCAGCAACATACGGATTATCTATATTAGAGTTTGTATATCACAGTGACAGTTATAAGAAGAGGATGAAAGAGGCAGTCGAGTCATGGAAGAAAGTATCCCGGATGAATGTCGTGGCTGCCAGAGATATGCTTACTCCGGATTATATGGAGTAGCAAAGATTGAGAAAGAATGATAGCATCCCGATGCCAGACTGTGAAGACACCCGGACCATGAAGGAACATCTCAGGCCTGTCCCTTATGAACTTGAGATAGTCAAGGCAGAGTTTGAAACTGTGAATAATGAGCTGAAACAGAGAGTTAAGGAACTTGAAGCTGAACGTTATCAATGGAAACTAGATGTCGATTCTCAGAAAGATAGAGCAGACAAACTGGAAAGGGAGCAGAAAAGAGTCTATTTTGAGCTTGAAGACTTGAGAAAGGGGTACCAAGATAAAGTCAAGGATAACTCTTGAGAATCCAACGCCTGAGAATCCAAATGGCTGATCTGGAGAAACAACATGAGAAAGATGGTAAAACAATAGCTTCAAAAAGCAAGCGAGTGAGCTTCAGATAGTGACATTCGACGGGGGTTTGCAGTGGCGTTTCCGTTGGGAGCAAGCACAACAAAAGGTGAAGGCCAGAGACGCAGTCATCCGAGATTTCCTGGATCAAGTACAGAAGGCAGCTCGCCATCTACACGGCATGGCAAGGGAAGCTGGAGTGGTCCAACAAGGCATACAACCAGTGACAGATGAAAACAAAAGACTTATCAACCTGCTGGAAGCTGTTCGGGGTTTAGAGGATTTAGTCCGAATGTACCTTTGATTGTTTTTATGTCTCTTACAAGATAAAACTTTTTGTCGAAATAAGGATTATTTATAATAATGGGCACTTTTCTGGATCAATGCCTCGAATATTTCATGCATTTTTTCATTTTGCGTTGTGCATCTATATTTCATTTTTAAGCATTTTCATAAACATGAAATTTCTTCATGGAGGATTCGATGAAGTGGTTTTAACCACATGACACCACATGGAAGCAAGATTGTAACATCAAAAGAAAAAAACTGAAAACAATATAGTGGGAGCCTGACCAGCTGACTGTAGGACAAAGCCTGCAAGGATGATCTAAGAAAAGAATCCCCATATCCTAAGGGCTACGATGTTGAAGTTGTTAGCTGTTACCGCATAAGAAGCCCCAAACATTCCTCTGAAAACTGTAAGGCACTTTGCCGAAGAAGGGGGCATGGCATATACCATTTGCACTTAGAGGATTGTTTGTTTGGACACGTCTTTGATCTTTCATGTTTGCTTAATCTTTTAAATGATTGAATTATGTTTTTCTAAGGTGGAGAAATTGAACAAATTTAATCTTTAGTTCTTCGAATATTAAATGAATTAATGATTCTTTTAATTATTCAAGAATATAGATTTTTGACATATGGAAAGATTAGACCTTTCTTACCCTGTCTAAACCCCATAATAAAATACCTTGATTCTTTGCCCAAAACAACTCGTGGTCATTACCAAAAGACGAAATTTTGACATTACCTCATTTTGAAATTCTTGAACATTGCCTTTATCTTTTTGATACAACTCATACCTTTATTTGAGTCAATAAGATCACACCACTGTCTTTTTTAGACTCAAAATAACCTTTTTACCATTAAAACCCAAGGCATTGAGTTGTTCATTTTAACATGAGCATTCTTCTAAAGAACCAACTTGGGGCATCTCGCGGGGAGCCTGAACATTGAGACATCTGGGAAAAAAAAGAAGAATTCATTCGAAATAATTATCATACATTAATTACACTGTTTTCATGTGAATAGAATTAATCTTGAAAATCT